CTACAATTATTGGGTCTTTGTTATTTGAACAAAGCAGCAATGTGAGAAATGTCTTTGATTGGTTACAGTAGTATAGACCACACACACACACACACACACACACACTACACATCACACACAAACATTAGACAAAAGCAAGCATTACACACACACACACGCAAACATTAGACACACGCAAGCATTGCACACACACATGCAAGCATTACACACACACATGCAAGCTTTGCACACACACATGCAAGCATTACACACACACAAGCATTGCACACACACATACAAGCATTACACACACACAAGCATTACACACACACATGCAAGCATTACACACACACAAGCATTACACACACACATGCAAGCATTACACAAAAGCAAGCATTACAAACACACACATGCAAGCATTGCACACACACAAGCATTACACACACATGCAAGCATTACACACACACACAAGCATTACACACACACATGCAAGCATTACACACACACACAAGCATTACACACACACATACAAGCATTACACACACGCAGGCATTACACACACACACAAACATTAGACACACGAAAGCATTACACACACACATGCAAGCATTACACACACACGTGCATTACACACACACACAAGCATTACACACACACATGCAAGCATTACACACACACAAGCATTACACACACACATGCAAGCATTACACACACACATGCAAGCATTGCACACACACAAGCATTACACACACACAAGCATTACCCACACACATGCAAGCATTACACACACACATACAAGCATTACACACACGCAAGCCTTTCACACACACACACACAGGCATTACACACACCACAAACATTAGACACACGCAAGCATTACACACACACACATGCAAGCATTACACACACACACATGCAAGCATTACACACACACAAGCATTACACACACACATGCAAGCATTACACACACACATGCATTACACACACACACACACACAAGCATTACACACACACACACACACAAGCATTACACACACACACGCAAGCATTACACACACACAAGCATTACACACACACATGCAAGCATTACACACAAGCAAGCATTACACACACACATGCAAGCATTACACACAAGCAAGCATTACACACACACATGCAAGCATTACACACACACATGCAAGCATTACACACACACATGCAAGCATTACACACACACATGCAAGCATTACACACACACATGCAAGCATTACACACACGCATACATTACACACAGAGACACACACACACTTTGGGCTGTTCCCTGTTGTATTTTTTGAATAGTTTGCATCAGAGTGATGTCTTTAACCCTCTATGGCATACTGTTGCCCTCGGGCAACAAACCAATCTTTTGGCTCTTACACTGGCCCTTTAATGTTTTTTTTTTATTTTTTTTTTTTTATAAAATTACTAGACATGTTTCTGTCCAATTAAATCAAGTTCTGAAGTGGGTGGGGGCAATTGTCTGGGGGTGGAGCAGTCCTTTCAGGAAGCAGAGTCACAAGTGACACAGTGCCAGAAAAAGGTAGGATAAATATAACTTTTCTACATGTTTAAATTCGAAAAACTTGATAAAATAAATATGTGACTGTGCATGAATATGTTAAGAAGCATATTTGATTGTTAATATATGTTTTTTGTTTCCATTTATATACAAAAACTGCACGTTTAGGTTTGTTGCCTCAAGGCAACATCATGCAGTTGTAGCACTTTTGTTTGGGCAGTGTAATGCTGCTGGTTGGGGATGTGCTTGAATGGATAATCAACACCACACTCAATGTTTTTTGCTGTTCTATCTTCCATTCTGATCTATCTACTATTGCTTGTAGGAAATGGATGCAATAACGTTTTACGGGTCCAAGAATGAAGGAGTTAGGGACATTCCAATCGATAGTCCTGGTCTCAGGTCTCTGTCCTGAAGTCCTCTCACATTAGTCCTGGTCTCAGGTCTCTGTCCTGAAGTCCTCTCACATTAGTCCTGGTCTCAGGTCTCTGTCCTGAAGTCCTCTCACATTAGTCCTGGTCTCAGGTCTCTGTCCTGAAGTCCTCTCACATTAGTCCTGGTCTCAGGTCTCTGTCCTGAAGTCCTCTCACATTAGTCCTGGTCTCAGGTCTCTGTCCTGAAGTCCTCTCACATTAGTCCTGGTCTCAGGTCTCTGTCCTGAAGTCCTCTCACATTAGTCCTGGTCTCAGGTCTCTGTCCTGAAGTCCTCTCACATTAGTCCTGGTCTCAGGTCTCTGTCCTGAAGTCCTCTCACATTAGTCCTGGTTTCAGGTCTCTGTCCTGAAGTCCTCTCACATTAGTCCTGGTCTCAGGTCTCTGTCCTGAAGTCCTCTCACATTAGTCCTGGTCTCAGGTCTCTGTCCTGAAGTCCTCTCACATTAGTCCTGGTCTCAGGTCTCTGTCCTGAAGTCCTCTCACATTAGTCCTGGTCTCAGGTCTCTGTCCTGAAGTCCTCTCACATTAGTCCTGGTCTCAGGTCTCTGTCCTGAAGTCCTCTCACATTAGTCCTGGTCTCAGGTCTCTGTCCTGAAGTCCTCTCACATTAGTCCTGGTCTCAGGTCTCTGTCCTGAAGTCCTCTCACATTAGTCCTGGTCTCAGGTCTCTGTCCTGAAGTCCTCTCACATTAGTCCTGGTCTCAGGTCTCTGTCCTGAAGTCCTCTCACATTAGTCCTGGTCTCAGGTCTCTGTCCTGAAGTCCTCTCACATTAGTCCTGGTCTCAGGTCTCTGTCCTGAAGTCCTCTCACATTAATCCTGGTCTCTGTCCTGAAGTCCTCTCACATTAGTCCTGGTCTCAGGTCTCTGTCCTGAAGTCCTCTCACATTAGTCCTGGTCTCAGGTCTCTGTCCTGAAGTCCTCTCACATTAGTCCTGGTCTCAGGTCTCTGTCCTGAAGTCCTCTCACATTAGTCCTGGTCTCAGGTCTCTGTCCTGAAGTCCTCTCACATTAGTCCTGGTCTCAGGTCTCTGTCCTGAAGTCCTCTCACATTAGTCCTGGTCTCAGGTCTCTGTCCTGAAGTCCTCTCACATTAGTCCTGGTCTCAGGTCTCTGTCCTGAAGTCCTCTCACATTAGTCCTGGTCTCAGGTCTCTGTCCTGAAGTCCTCTCACATTAGTCCTGGTCTCAGGTCTCTGTCCTGAAGTCCTCTCACATTAGTCCTGGTCTCTGTCCTGAAGTCCTCTCACATTAGTCCTGGTCTCAGGTCTCTGTCCTGAAGTCCTCTCACATTAGTCCTGGTCTCAGGTCTCTGTCTTGGCTGTGAAACATCTATGTTTCACAGCCACTAGCAACTGCTTCTTGCTGTTCCATACACAATAGGCTACCGAGACCCGCAGCTGTGTGACTTACTAGAGGCTCAGAACTGTTTTTGCTTTTGTTTTTGCAATCTGGAGTGCTCTGTACCCGTTTAAAAAAGTTGAGCTTGAAAAATAAAAGAATAAAAGCTTCTCTAATGTATTTGTTTTATTATTTTCCTAATTCAATGTAATATTGAAAACCTTGGTGTTTTAGTACCCTCGTCGCACAATGTTGCCCTTAAGCAACAAACCATTATCTGATTGGGGGGGTGGGGGGGGGTCAAATGTAAAGATCAATGTTATTAGGGACGCACGAGCTCTTAAAAAGTGTGTTGAAATATTTTTTCCCCCTAAAATAAAAAGTCATGCCATAGAGGGTTAACACTTGCATGTGAAAGCCAGCTCTCGTTAGACCTCTGAAACTAAGCAGGGCAGGGCCTGGTTAGTACTGTGACGGGAGACCTCTGAGTACCACAGTGGGTCGACTGCGGCTGTAATGTGCCAAACTGTTATTGTGTCCTTAGGCAAGACACTTCACCGGCATTAGAATGAGTTTGGTATGTGTGTGAATGGAGTAAAGAGAATGTTAGTTGCCAAGCGACCGAATTTTTTTAATCTTATATTTAAATGAAAGGAGATGTCAAAATGACTGCTGTGGGAGTAAAAGGTCGAGCTCCACCATCCAAAGGAATATTGTGTGTAGGCATTAGAAAAAGCTGAAGCCACCAAAAGGCAACTGTCATGTATCGGGGGAAAAAAGCTTTTATCACGACATGAAAGGAGCCCTGAGACGGCTCCAGAGTCAGAGGCACTCGGCCCCTGAGAGCCGAGGAGCTGTCAGGAACTCGCTGCTGCTCAAGGAGAGGATGAGGATCTTTCTATCAAAAAAAGCTTCCACAACATATTTTAAATACAGTTCTGGAAACGTGTTTTGGTCTGTTGGTGCCAGGCCCCGCTGAGGAAGAAGAAAACATTTCACACCCTCTGCTTCAGCTCAGAAAATCAGCCTAAAGAGTCAAATAGTGACTCAGAGTTAGCCAAATATACTGGTCTGATTTGTTTACAACTTTTACTTTTGGGACAAGCAACATCCATTATTATTAGGAGAAAAAAGTAGCTACCCTTGTTTTATTTAGTGAGCTTTGATTAGAAAATATCAAAATATAAATACCAAGCTTTTTGAATGTGAGACAAACGGTTACTGAGCTAGAGGAGTTTACTTATCAATGTATGTTAACAGGAGCCAGAGGGAGTTGGAGCAAAACTTTGTACATGAGCACTTCCCTAATGGGCTTCATTGAGCTAGCGGGTTAGCATTGTACATCTGTATACAGCAGTGGGGGTGGGTCCTGGCTCCAAAAGGTCCATGAGCACATGCGCTGACATGCTTGCAATCTCACTCCGGGACGGTGGGGGTGTACCCGGAAAGAGAATTATCCAATGCCTTTCTATGGGGTCTTCTTACCTCTCGAAAACGGCTTTACAGAATGGTCCAAAAGTTGGCTCTTGGCCCAATACTATGTTCCAGATGTGTGTCAATGATGAGGGGAGTTTTTTTTACAGTCTATGTTAGCATGGTTCATCTATATTGACAAAAACCAAGGCAAAAAGGAGGACGAATGGATTTCACTTTGATAGTGTCTTACAGAGAATCCTCAGCTTCGCCCACAGACTCATTTGCCTTCAGTCAGACTGAGAACAGCGGCAGATCTCGGGGTACACAGCGACAGCAGGGCATTCCTCCCGTCTCCGTCACAGTTGCTCCTATCAGGACTTTACGCTCGGCTTTGATCCCTGCAGCAGACACAGTGCCACAGCGTTCACTGGCAAATGTCACAGAGAGCACTTCCACGGCCGCGAAACAGCCCCTGGACTCGACTCGCATCTGACTCTTTCTCTGGGAAGACCTCGGCTGTCGGCACGTGCGGCTGGCGAGCTGGTTTGGTGTTGCGACCATAAATCCCAGCAGCAGAAACCGGTGTGGCTTTTGTAATCATTCATAAATTTTTACCAGCAGTGTTGGGAATCTTGTGTTACAAAAGTATTGGTTTTTTGCTGTAACGTGGTAATGTCAGGCATCCAAAAAATATAGAAAAAACAGGTAATATTTGACACATTACATTGAAAAAACAGTAACAAGTAACACATAATGTATAAGGTTTTTGAAGTAACTTGACCGAAACAATTTACTCTCTGAAAAACATTGCCAGGACTAAATCTGACTTTGAGATTCTGATCCTTGCGTTTGTCCTCAGTGGGTAAGATTGCTGTAACTCCATCCACATAAAATCATTCACTCATGACTAAGACAAAGGAGCTGAGACAAAATACAGTGACGCCGGTTCCATTCCTCTTGTGGATTTACTGCTAAATCTGCAAACACGACCGGATTTAATGCACCACCAGAGCAGAACGTTAGCATTGCATTTCCTAAGTTCGCACTGTGTGATTCTCTGATCTGTTCCACGCACCGTGTAAAGTCCTAAAGACGACTGCTGTTGTGATTTGAGGCTGTGCAAAAATTAACTGAATTGGATTGAACACATTTACAAGATCAGAGTTTTAAGACGCAGTGTTATCCAGCAGTTAGCTCACAAAAACTGCCTGTGAAAAGTACAGTTTATAGAGGCCGTCGAGTGGTCAGACCCACCGGCAAAAAAACACTCTTTGACTAATACTCAATGACGTTTACAAGGAGTTTGGGCACAAGTTAGAGGAGACAACTTAGGACTTGGTGAAATTAAATCATGGGCAGGGCTGGACTGGCCATCGGGCGTACCGGGCAATGCCCGAAGGGCCGATGCCCATATTTGGGCCGGTCTGTCTGCCTCATACAAAAAAAAATGTTTGTGAAAAGTGTAAATCCGTTGAGAACTGTTCGAGGGGGCGCGCGTGTCCGCGGGGCACCTGCTGTATGTACTCGAACGGGATTCCACCACCTCAGCGGCCGCAGTGTTCCCGCATCCAGCGGCTCTGAGCTGGACGCAGGAACCGCTCACCGGGAACCGCTCACAACACAACACGGTGAGCGCGTAGCCGCAACGTGGCCATGTACCCAACCCCATAAACGCACACAGGACCATGCGTGTCTTTGCGTAATTTGTGCACCCAATAAATACACCGCTGCAGGAAAAAGTCCGCGTCTCCTCTCTCCTCTCGAAGTGCGACTAAATTAAAGCCCAGGTACCTAAATTTTCCATTGCATTAAAAGTTCATGTTTGAGCCCAAAAGTAAAATGTTGTGAACAAATTAAACAGATTTAGAGCCAGCCAATGGCTGACATTATGCATTTAAGACTTTTTTGACCAATTCTCATGTCTGTGTCCACCTCCCTCACTCTGAGACATGTTTATTACTCTCTTGTAATGTAGACTATTGTACTTTATTTTATTGTTGAAACTGCACATATCCTGATCCTCTACAGTATTTGCTTCCACATACTGTATAAACCAGGGGTCGGCAACCTTTAGTGCCCCTAAAGTGGCTCCTGGAGCCTTTTATAAAATGTCTGAAAATGGAGTGGGAGGGCTATATTTTATTCCTAGTTTGAATGTGGTTTCTGTGGTAGGAAAAATATTCCTAACGTATTTCAATGCTGTAAAAATGTGTATAAGTAATATTCAATTTCAACATTTCTGTCAACGTAGTGAGTCATATCCTGTGGCGCGGCCCCGCGCCAGGCGGCCGCTGCTGTGAACAAACCAGCGTGTGCGTGTCGAGGGGTGCAAAATGGGTGGTGGGTTTTAATATGGTTTGTTTTATATTTTATGCATGTCGTGTGTGTGTTTTTAATATTGATTTTAATTTGCACCACCTGAAGCACCCCGGCTCCCCACGTGACAATTAGAACACCTGTGCCACGGTACAAAAGGAGATGGGGAGGGGGCAGGAGAGAAAAACGGAGAGGGAGCCAGACACGGGAGCCAGGCGCGGCGGGTGAGAGCCCCGTGGTCTGGCGGCCCAGGCCGTGGGGATGCATTTTGGCCTGTTTTAGCCTCTGTTTTAGCTTTTTTGCCTTGTTTTTTAGCTTAGGTTTTTATTGCTTTTATTTACTTGTTTTTAATGTATTTTATAATAAATTGCTTTTAATTCGCTTTTAATCCAGTGGTCCCTTTTTAAATCCGGGTCCGAAGAACCTGCTTTTTTACCCCTGTGACATGCGCACGGATCCCAAAGATAAAAAGAGAACGAGTCGATAATAAGACTGGACTAAGAACAAGACTGAACATTTGCTTTCAGTCAATGAGGAAGGACTGCTTCATGTTTGCGATGTAATAGGAAGTTTTGTTGCAACACGAGGAACAATGAAGCACTAAATACCGTTCACAGGGATTACGTGAAGGATTCTTTCATACAAAATCCGGAGCACCTTTTTCAGACTTCAAAAACCTCCGCAAAGACTGTGAAAGAAAAGTACATTCAGCGCCAGCAAACTTCAGCCTGTGATGTGATCGATATGAGCGGACAGTGCAGGTGTGTGACCTTTGAGCCAGAGATTTATTTAGGCAAGGCAAGGCAAGGCAAGTTTATTTGTATAGCACAATTCATACACAAGGCAATTCAAAGTGCTGAACAAAACAAGAAAGCATTAAAATCATAAATAATCACAGTACATTAAAAAAAGATACAAATATAAAATCCCTCAGTTGTATGCACAGCTAAACAGAACCGTCTTTAACCTGGTTTTAAACATTGTCAGAGAGGAGGCCTGTCTTTCTGTATTTCTACAGTTGCATGAAGGCAAAAAAATGGAAGTCAAAGTTAAAGCAGAGTCATCACGTGGTGCGTCATAGGACACGCTGCAGTGAAAACACACATTTGATAATCATGAATGCTTATTATGTATTTGTAGCCTTTACTTGGTCATTTAGATATTAGGCTAATGTAGCTACATTGTGTAACCTTCATATAAGCGTTATACAAGGCTCTTATTTTTTTGCGGCTCCAGACAGATGTTTTTAGTTTTTTGGTCAAATATGGCTCTCTGAACCTTTTGAGTTGCCGATTCCTGGTATAAACAAACTGTAAAAAAGTGACAAAAACATGCCTGGGCCGGTAAGAAGGAAAAAATGCCCGGGCCGTTTTTTTGTCCCAGTCCAGCCCTGATCATGGGCTATGATCGGATGGACTTATTTTGCCTTATTTTTTTTTTGCAGAATGTTGCATAAAACCAATGTTTTTATTTCACTTTTATTTAACCAAGAAAGTCCCATTGTGATTAAGAACCTCTTTTTCAAGGGAGTGCTGGACTAAAGTTACATACAGTTACATACAGTACAGATTCTAAAACAGTTACATACACATTATAAAAATATGGATCTAAAAGCATTCAATGACATAAGTTCAGATAATGTCCAGTCTTTTTGCAACACGTTCCATGTAGAAGTGGAACGTATATGATAGCTGACAGGTGATAGTAGTAGCATAGACTGTATATCAGAATCCTATAGAGATGAACAACGCCACTCTACACTAAGTGACGTGTAAAAGCAGGAAAAAAGTAAACTCAGATTTTAAACTCCTCCAGCTCAGCAGCAATTTTTGTAACACTCACCATTTCGGCTTTAAAAAAAAATCGGTTGTTTGCGTTCTCTGTAATCTTGATGTTTTCATTTTGATATTGTCTTTGTAAATCTACTTATCTTGCCCCATATGCATAAAACTATGCACTATAAAAGGTTATCAAGGTTTCTCACCTTTTCCCACTTGGTTTATCCTCGTCGATGCAGGAGGATCTCGACATTCAACAACAATTATGAACATTGGTCATCTACCTCTTATGGACCAATGGCTCTATGTGTTTAACCATTTTGTAAAGTCCAAGATAACTACTGTTGTGATTTAGGGCTATAAAAGAATAACATTGAATTGAATACAAAATCTCTCTCCCATTCATTTCAATGGCAGTTGCAGTGCAAGAGTAGCTAGCTAAGTGTTGTAGTAGTAGCAGTTTTGAGTTCACCAGCAGCTGTCCGTCCCTAAATAGACTCCCTGGCGATAAACTGCAGATTTGGCCGGCTCTGGTAACGCCTGGAGGTCAGCACGGATCCCAGAGGTCGAAGGTCAAAGACAGCTGCGCCCTCCCCGGCCCCCGACAAGCGCCAAGCTGCGATTGTTAATGAGGTTTTGGCCGCCGGTTTTAAAAGGCCCTTCAGAAAAGCTCATTTTAACATGTGATTTGAAGGGTTCCAGGGTTCTTTACGGGAAAGCGAGTCCGTCCCAGTTTTTGATCCCCCTAGAGTCCATCGCCAGGTCCAACAAAATTCCAATTCACCTGTTTATTGTTACTTCCTATTGTGTCCTGAAACGCTCCCTTGTACGCGTTTAAGCAAAATTATTGTACATATGAGGTCAACCATAAACTGTATATCCACAGTGGACTGACCCATAGAGTTAGCCTTAATGCAGAAGAGGCCGATTTGAAAATAAGCTAGCTAGAGCCAATTTCCTTATATGGGCATTTGTTCCAATGGAGGATGTTGAGACAGGAAGTTTCCCCTGCGAATGAAGGCATCTGATTGGGCAATCCTTACACGCCACATGTCTGGATATAGAAAGAGATATGGGCAAAGCAAGTTTATTTTTATCGCACAGTTCATACGCTAGACAACTCAAAGTGAACAAGACAAAAACAATAACACAAGCATCAATATCATAAATAATAATAATAATAATTGCAGAGATAATATCCTTCAGTTGTATGCACAGCTAAATAGAAATAGAGAAAGATTAAGAAGATTAAATTTCAGGGTTAGATTACAAGTTAAAGAACAGTCGGAATGAGGAGCACACAACATGATGAATGCATAACTATAACTATACTAAAAATGCAATTAAATAACTTAACTCTAGCATAAAAGAAGCAGTATTATAAAATATCTATCTTTAGCATAATAAGGAAAGAAGAGAAGAAGCCTGTCTCACATTTTCAGAAAGACTGATTTCAGCTGAATAAAT